TTATTGAATTATAATTGATAAGATGTCTACATATACATATATATGAAAGTTAGATAAATAAAATATCTAATTTTTATAAAATACAAATTTGGCTATTACTTTAAAATTAAATCAATTCATAAGGAAAACCAAGATATATTAATAAATTTTCGATTACAATCAGCTAAAAATAAATTATTTCGCATATTAGATTTCAGAGCAGAATTAATTACAAAGATTTATTCCTCAAATAATTTAGAATAAGATTATATTATATTAATTTTTGAATAGTATTTTAATAAAATATTAAAGTGCAATATTTTTTCCAATTACAGAAATACAAATACTTTAATTTTATTCATCAAAAGTATGTAAATAGCATTAATATGCAAAATAATTTAGTATTTATTTGATTTTGCAGTAAAATACTTAATAATAACTAAGATAAGAAAATGCCATTATATTCATACATTTAGAGATATAGCATTCTTACAATTATTTTTAAATTGCATAGTTACATTAATAGTACAATAGTTATAGCTCTAACATTAAATATTACATTTACAAGTGTCATTAAAGTATTAATATAAAAATTTATATTTTACTTTATCTTTGATCACACACAAAACTATTCATCTGACTTTAACTATGTATATGCTATCTCACGTCTCTTTTCATAGACGGTTTACAAATGCAAATCCCGAATGCAGAATTCGACGTGCCTCTGTGTCACTCTCAATCCATACCTCGAAATCGAAGTATATATATCTTCGCATTCACGTGATACTTAAGGTTGTAACGGTTTGCAAGGGAGAGGAACCGTTCGTCCGCAACTGCGATCGTTTGTCACGTCGCGTCGGCCGTCGTCGAACCGCTTTTTACGTTCCAACGACGACGGCGACGACGCAACGCAAGACTTGCGGGGATTTGGCTTAACGGCGGAAACTCAGTCGCCGATTTCTCGTCTTCGCAGGTGCAAGAAACCACCATAAGGTGTTTTCAGTGGCATAGAGGAAGAAGGTGGGAAATCAGGATATGATATAAAGATATATGTATGCGTGTGTGCGGACGTGCAAGGTCGACGATCTTCCTCCCTTCAATCTTCATCCCTATTCATTCCTATCTCTATCTCTCCCGGCATCATCCATTTTCGTACGCTATAAACACCGACAAGCGCGGACACAACGAGATATCTCGCATTTCCGGCTGGAGGAATGATGCCTGTCAGACAGAATCGGGCGAATTTAATCATTGCTGTGCAGGTCCTTACGCGCATCAAGATTTTCGTACATTGACAGATCTCTAGCAATATTTTTAATATTAAAGAAAAGATACAAAATAATGACTGCTATTTGACAGTAATAAACTTTTTGCACTTTTTGACAGTATGACATACTAATTTTATATACAATGTTGCAATATTTTGACGCACACAAAAATTATGTAGTAAAGTTTAGAATACATTTTTTTTGTAAATTTATTAAAAATTGCGGCTTTTTTTACATTACAATATAAAATTTGATTCTTTTTAGAGAGAATATTAATAGAAATTGCAAACACTGTAAAAAACGTTGCAGTATTTAAGTCACTCTCCAACAAAACGTTTAAACTTTTGTCATTCTTATAAAGGTCTGCAGACATGCAAATGTTAACGCAAATTGGATACGGATACAATGACGTTAAAAGATGCAAATTCAAAGTAAGAAGTATCGAAGCCCTTAGAAGTACTTTTTAAAGAACATACCTCATTACCTCGGTTCTTAACCTGAGATGGTCCTGGTAACCGACTAACAAATCCCGTTCTGGAATACTGCAAAAGTTAGAAGTTGAAGGAATAAAGTTGAAATTATGGATATGGGAACTATAGGCATGAAAAAGTTAAAATTGTCCCTTGGGCGGACGCCTCTTTTCCGCCAACCGTTAGAGCGACCTCCGCTGAGAGTTTACATATCGCAACACTTAAGAATTAAATAAGAAAAAAAGTAGACAAAAAGTACTATCAGAAATGTAGTATGTAGTTTCAAAAATAAAATCGAGAAAATAAAAATTACATTTTCTCAAGAAATCAGCCAACGATAATACAATCGTATTTAAAAAGTTTTGTCGTGTTGACTAAAAAGTACAATAAACAGTAAATGTTTTAAATCAATTAAATTATTATAAAAGTTTTTAATTACAGCAAAAAACACAATTTTACTAGAACTGAAATAATGAGACAGTTTCTTTTTTTGTTTATGTGTAATTTTCTCTCACACAAAACACTCGTTCGAGAAGAATCCCTAAATAAGATAAAATAAATGATCTTTAAAGATACCAATTTTTTAATAAGAGTTTTTATAATTTTTTAATTTTGACAATTATATTATATGTATATAAATGTATATATGTGTGTGTGTGTGTGTAAATCATAAATAGCAGTTTGCTACAATCACATCTCTGAGCGATTAACTGCTTGGGAGAAACGATTAGATGGACTTAAGCATTATAGTTTATGGTCTAAGGCACGTATTCAGGCCGCGATATTAGCGTTGTTAACCCTCTTATAGAGTTTACTTGGAATATACATTTAAGCCGTTCACGTTCAAGAGACCCGCCGTTTTGTGAGACACCGTTTATCGTACATGTGATAGCATAGCGTTGAATTTCCATTGTATTTATCTTCTGAACTGTGTCGCTTTAAATACATTCTGAGAAGTTGCTTGAACTTTCTTCAATAATGTTACTAAAGTGAAATTAAACTGCGCCATGTTGGCATAAGACGGGCTAAGAAAATAAACTCTATCAAGTTGAGAATCACAAGATTCAATTTTTATACACATAAGCCTTAATTCTCAACTTTCTCACTTTAATTATTATCATTCTTTTTTTTTATGGTGACAAATACGTCTTTTTTTACTATCCATACATGTGTAACTCATAAAATAATAACAAGTATAATACTCAACTTACCGCAACGGCAGTTTGTGTTGAACGTGACATAATTATCGTAAAATTTAAAGCGAGATACGAAAAACGACAGATAACTCGAGGCTGATAAAAATTCTAATCTCTACGCGCGATTCAAGTGTTCTTTCTAGTAATTTAATTTAATTTAACATCACTCGCGCGAAAGCAACACGAATCGCGGTATACCTCGTAGCGAATATTGCGTTGCTGCTCGTTTACCGGATTTAAAAGTCGAAGTGATGAAATTGCAATGACGAATTGCAGCAAACGGAAGAGAAAAAGAAAGTTGGTAGCCAGTGCAACCGACAAACTCGCTTTTCTGCAAGCTATTACACCACCTTGACTATAGTTCACAGGCCGTAGATTTATTTTCGCTCGAGGCAGGACGATGTATCCGTGCTCGATTTTATTCGTGGCCGAACAAATTTCTCGCATGAAACTTAGAGTTGGCAGAATAAAATTGAGATGATGAATACGGCAAACATGAACGGAAAGGAATTGAAATTAAAATTGCAGCATTGAGTCTTATTGTTAATCGTTGTATTTCGTAATAATAAGTACGGTGTATTTTTCTCCCTTTGCGCGGGGAGAAATCTGTTATAATGTAAAAAAGGTAGACTTCGCAAAAAATTAAAATAATGGAGAATATGATGTACCGAAAGCTTGAATTATCACAATATTAAATTGATATTAAATAAAAAAATGTATCTTTTTAAAATATATTTATTTTATTTTCATATTAATTGATATTTATTCGTCTTTGTTTGCATTAAATTTAATATAGAATACAATTTTTTATGGAACATGAATGAGCAAAATAATTTCAAACGTATTTAAAATAACGTAAACTCATTATTTGAGAATATAAATATGTGAATACGTATATTACTATGAATTTCACAGAAAAATTTTATGTTACTAAATTCGATATATAGGACAAATTTAATTTCTCGCCACTTTATAACTTGAATTACTAATTGAATATTTGCATTCTAGTTCCATTTATATTTAAATCATTTATAACTTTGTATTTTTCATCATTGTAGAATGCTAGAAGAAATTGTATATTTTATTGTATTATATAATGTACTTGATATAAAATAAATATATTTATATCATAAATTCTATTGCAAATAACGATCGTTTCTTCGTGCTAAAATCTCGTGATATTTCTTACTGCTGTTATAGCTGACGAGTTTTCTCTTAATTCAGATATTCATAGATATTGAAATTACGAGAGATTAATAGTAGGGAGAGAAAGATGATATTATAAACCGTGCTCTCTATTGAGGAATTCAACTTTTCTATATTCCTTGGACAGAATTCCAATACGACGAAGAGGGTGAGGGAAAACCCGATCATGACCTGTTTGAGCGCCTACCAAGGAATAAAGATGGAAAACGCGACGAGGCTATCGGACCTCCATCCGATGGTAAAGAACGACAGTCATTCTTAAAATGAGGTTAATCGAAAACATCTCGCGATGCTTGTTACTCTGTGCACGTATCAAGTACGTAAGGGTGTAGGAAGAGGGAGAGGGTGGTGGGCCGCGAGATATCTCGAAACGACCGCGCCATGGCCAGCATTCGTAGCTCCAAATCATTTCTCGTCTATTCACATTGTCAACCACTGTACTAAATTGCGAATCGATGTCACATTGGGCCTTGAAATATTGCATGAAGACGAGCAGAAAACTCTCCGAACCGAAATAACAAGATATGAGGGTCATTTTATCCACTTCTCCGAACACATCGAGTCTCGATCGATTAATAAATACTATACACATAGGTTCGATAAACATCCACGGTCCTCTCGTTTATTTTCAATGAACTGGTGTTTTACTTTATCTATAATTTATATGCATGCGCGTATCGGTGTTATAAATGGATATTTGGCACTCGAAAGCACTTTATTCTTTTTTCTTTTTTCATGCGCTTACTTTTATGCTATCAGCAAGTGTAACGGCAATATGAGCAAAGAGAAAATACGAAAGTTTTTATTCAAATATTTAAAAATAATTCTTTTTAGATTGAATATATATGTACTAATATAAATATTATAGGCATAAAATATAATAATAGGAACAATTTTTTTATCAAAACCGTTTACAATATTTTTAATTTAAGTACAAATCGATGAGGAAGCCGTCATTTGTAATGCTAACAGTATCGAAACAAACGTAAAATTTATGAAATTATAGGTCATACAAAATTATTTCTTGTATACATACAAATTATATACATACAAAATTATTTCTTATATTATTTCACATATAGATATTATTCTATCAATTTTGAATGTATACATACATATTTATGAATATTTTTTAGCAACGCATTCAGTAAAAATTGATCGATCAGATATATATATAATCAGAATATTAAAACGAGGATTTACTATAGCAAAAATATATACAACGTTATATACAAGATATAAATGTTTAATATAACAGATCACATCTTTATACACACACAATCAACCAAAATGTATTATTTTTCTAAATGCGATAACGAACATATTTAAATAATATTTAAGAAACTACATGCGCATACAGAATGAGCATTATAAATAAATAAATGCAACTAACTAAAAGAGACAAGATTATTTCAGACAAAATGTTTACTCTATAAGCTTGATACAAAATCAACACTGTCCTGTACATTACATTAAATAAATTCCCATTACATTAAATAAGTTCCCATACTTTAATAAAATTTCAAATACCTTGTATTAATTATGCAACTAATTTTAAATTTAATTTTTTTTACATTTTTTTTTTATAATAGATTACAAATCTTGTTTATAGAAAAAATACAAATTTCCATAACGCAAGTACGGTATTTGATATAGTTTTCTTTATTATTGCAGAATATTATTTTTATAAAATGTAACTGCTTGCATCGAATAGACAGTAAACAAATATAATATTTATATTTGCATTTGGGGAAATAGTTAAGCGTTTTACTTTAACAAATACTTTTGTCTGCGTCAGATAGAATTGAGTCTCAACGGAACACGGCGTTTTCTTCCATGATACATGTTCAGGAAATTTACAGCCGTTACCGTCATCTATACCAAGCTGCGTATATAATAATTACATATCGCCAGTTGGCTACGTTTCTTTCTGTATAAAGATATACCTTAAAATACAAGATCTTTGCAATATGGTTTCCATGACCGACGATCGAAAACCAGTACCCGACCGACATTGCAGGGACCTTGCTCGCCTTCCTTGTAACATCGACGGTTTCCTGGCCACAATATCATGTTATCTTTGCATTTTGTAGCGATCTTGATGTAATCCGCTTGGTCAGGAAAATAGACACTATCATAGTTAACCATTTCTGTGATGCCGACTGTCGAGCGAAATAGAACGCATACTATGATAAAGAAGAACGATGCTGAGAGATGCATCCTTGATACTAGGTGTTCTTAGTATTGTCCCAAAATGCAACTAAAAATCTGAAAATTATATATTCATTATAGAAAATATATATATGTTCTAGTGATAAACGAAAGTAATAATAAAATAGTTATCGAGATTTTTCCGCAATAAAATATAATTATTAAAAGTATAAAAGTATATAATTTATTTTTTTTTATTTATTTATAAAATATATTTTTCTTTCATTAATTTCTCTAAATTGCTGTTTCAATATGTATGATTATATTTTGAGATCTGTGAATGCATTGTGAGTTTTTTTTTTTTTTAATAAACATATTAAGTAGTATGATAAATATTGTTAGAGTAATATACCAGAGAAGAAACCTTTTTTATATTTTATATATATAATTCAACAGTAATAATTCAACAAAATTTAATGATTAATAAAAAAAATTAAACTAAGGAAGTATATCGATAAAAGTGGAGGATATGATTTAATATGTAATTCAATGTAGATTCCAACATAATATTTGCACGGGTATTAATACGATGAGTAACTATCGATATATATGTATACATATATAATATTAAGAAAAAAAATCAAATTAAAGAATTTACATAAAATTTCATTACTTGATTGGATTTCGAGAAGTGGAAAATAATTAATTAATTAATTAATTAATATTTTCATATGCTAAATAGAATAACGTAGTTACTGTATGCATCAAAATCAAACGAAAAGTTCTATATATGTAAAAATTATTTTCTACGTATATTTTCTGTATAAATGAGAATATCTAACAAAAAAATTCGACTGTACCATACGTCAGATTTTGTGAATATTACAAAATGAATTTTCTTTTTTATATATTTTTCGTTTTATATATTATTTGTTACGTTTTTATATATTTTAAAATTCGTTGCAAACACAATTTTAATCCCGAGATTTTTTTTTTTAATTTATTATAATATACAGAAAAAAAAATAAAAATTTAGGGAGACAGAAGTATACAGAAACAGAATAAACATTTAAAAAAGGCTTTAATAACTGGCTAAATTAATTTTGAAATAGTAAGCGTTCACAAATAATCTGACATCCGTATTCTAATATTTTAATAGTATTTTATCTACTTAGTATTTTAATTTAGTACTGCCAAGGTGTTATTATTTTATTCGAGAATTTTCATATTCCTAATGTTTCTAAAAAAGCAAATTATTCTGCTAATATATAGTGAGCACACATACAAATCCAGTTATGTGATACTATTTCACGAGGAAGCACGTTTGATATTTTCAGTGCATATAAATTCGACGTTATTTCGACACCAATTAACATACTAAGACAGTAATTCTCCTTACAACAATGTTATTTCGTTGCATTTGTGGTTTTGCAAATGCGTAGAGCACTGCAGCGAAATAGAATAGAACAACATTTCAATTTGCAAGAGAATTTAGATACAAAAAAAATATAGTATTTGTATGTCGTAAAACAATAAACACAAATAATAAGAAAAGATGCGCATATTGAATTTAGACATTATACAATATCCATACCAAATAAATATGTGTGATATATTGATATTCACATTTAGATAAAAAATGATGCAAAAGATGACATAGCTTATATATAGTAGATTACGGAATTTAGAAAAGAATATATATATATATATTTTTATATTTCTTTAAGAGAAATTCTCTAGAAATTAAGTTATTGTAAAAATATGAAAAAATATTTTTAATGAAAATTACTGATTGATTAAAACTATCCATTCATAGCATAGTCTGCGGCGTGATATTTAACCAAAAGTCCCGACTTTATATGTACGCGTATATGACTTTTAGAGAAAATAAACTTTATGACACACACACACATGCGCGCGCGCGCTGCGGTAAACTTACGCTCGGGAAAGGTGAGAGAAGTACAAGAAAAGAAGATTATATAGAGTTTCCACACAAAATTGGTCCGCCAAAAGTAAGAGTGTGTTTATTTCATGCTGTATCGCATTTCGCCAAATTTTCGCGCGCGGCTAGCAAACACGGTCCGCGGTTTACTCGTCCATGGACAATTTTGAAATTAATTTCTCAGCCGGACATAAAATGGTGAACAGCTAACAATTTAGACAATAGAAACAATTTTTGATAACAATATTACGATATAAGAAGATTTTTATACAATAATTCTACATTATATTATTAAAGAATATATGATCCGTAATATTAAAATTACGGATTACATATAAATAATTTTTATACAATATTGGTTGAATATTGATTCGCTTAAATTGGGCTGAAATCATGATACGGGAATTTGCGGGCAATATATGTTTCGACCGATTGATTACACTGTTTGGTGCACTGGCATCCCGCACGATCCTATATCGCTATAGCTATTTTACGGAAATTGTAGCATCGACAATAAAAATTATATCTTGTCATCACGACTTGCAATATTCAGCTTAAAGAACGCCGTAAAATCCTAACTATAATAAGCAGGCAATTCTTTCGCACGTCAACGCAAACTTTTATGTATGCTGCACGGATGCCAGAGAAATATTTTCTTTTAATAAATCTTGCGACTACACAATGTGTATGTAAAGAATTGTGTTAAATATCACAACAAACTCTCATCGTGCGAGTTTGTATTAAAAATTTTCTGTAACTTACACGAGTTATTTCTATCGCAAAAGCAATGATATACATATATTTGCATTAGAGCTAAAAATGTTCATACTTTCTATTCAGATTCTTCTTTGAATAGCATTATTATGAGACAAAAAGAAATTTGGAAATATGTATATAGAAAGCATAATTTGAAAATTGATTGTTTTTATCTTTAATTATATAAAGAGTTTTACATATAATATTTTCATATTAAGATTTAAAGAGAGACAATAATCAATAAATGTAATTTATAAAATATGCATATATTCATATCAGAAATTTTTTTATTGTATATAAGTTTTAATAATATTTTAATAAACATTTCTATTTTCATATATATTAATACGTGTATTATATTTAAATATATATATTTTAGTTTTGCCTAGTATGCATAGCTAATTATTTAATGTCATTATTATTTCAGAAAGAGATATTTATTATAACATTAAATTTTATAGATGACAGCATTATAAAATATAATCTTTATTATAATTTTGAATTAAAACCAATCTCAAAATTTTTGTACCGAATCGTATAATGGAAAGAAAGAGAGAGAAATCAATTCTAAAAATATTTCCCAAGCATGATGTTTGAGCAAGAGACTTACGTCAATTGCAATCTATTTTTCAACATATAATATCACGAATACACGTGCATTCGTAATAATGTATAAATTGTGGGGAAATACACATCTTTTTCGTCATTTTCTTGTTGCGGCGCATATTGCGTTTTCACTAAAGTATCAATTAGCGTTGCCTCGGGCTACTTAAGCCAATATCAACAGAAATTACTCCGTGAATGGAAGCTACGTTCACAATAATTGTAAAGTATCTCTAAGCAACACGCTTAGTATAAAGTCGATGACGACACGCAACGTCGTCATTAAGATAAACTATCATCGCCCCAGGCAATTAAAGCAGTTTGAAACTATTAATCGACACTCGATGTTCTAATGTCCAACTTAAGCAATCTAAGATGAACGTGGAGTAAACATTTAAATGTGCTTGGAATGATGCACGCCCGATATATTCTTAATCAATTCTTATGTTATTAAAAACGTGCGGATTTGAATATCAATTTTTTTGAAAAAGAGCTCAAGTTTGTAATAAAAGTTATCGAGAGATAACAACTCGCATACCACTCAACATGATTAAAGACGAGTTAAGTTTGACCCGGAATAATAAATTGTGCTATCTCCATCTGAATGCTTAAATTCCAAGCATGGAACAGAACACAATGGGCGGGTATATCTAGTTCCTTCAGGTGAAATACTCGCGATAATTCCAGAGGAAAGTTTCAACATTACTCCACGATACAGTGACCGGCCCTTTAGACTAAGTTGTTGCTCCGACAGTCTAGCTTAAGTAACCCTTAGTTAGCGCTTCACTGCTCCTTTCTAGATCGCAATAATATAGACAGAGAAACAGATAAACTCGCGCTACAATCAACTGTTAAAGAGAGACGAAGAGATAGAAACGGAGAACTTGTCTTTTCTATCGCTCGTTTCGTAGATCTGCGATTTATCGTACGTTGATAACGTAATTCGGTTATAAACCTTTCAAAAATGTGTGCCAGCATTTATTCGGATATTCTATTTTTTGTTTCCATTTTTTTTAACATTGTGTCTCTCACAGAGCGGAAAGATTATGGAGCGTTTGCGAAACCATACGCGGGATATCCATTATAAATGCGCAACGGGTTTTAAAACAATTTATCGCCTAGCCTTGCCAGGTTGTCACGCCGCGGCCGATATATGGTGCATCGTAATTTTAAAAAATAGGTCCATCGCACCGTAATCTGCAATCGTAGAAATGAAATACACGGATCCGAGTACATTCGTGCACTCTTTCGCCCGCACTGCCTCTGTTTCTTCTCCGATTTTTTTTTCTTCTTTTTTTTTCGTTATTTTCTCCAACGCATTACCGCGAGAAAATACAAATCACAAGGATTACCCGTACACCGGCTAACTCTCAAGCGGTTGACGAGGACGATTAATTTTTGCCTGTCTCTCCTGTCAACGTGGATGCTTCGGTAACCGAAGCTGGCTAATTTCATTTTTCGTGCACGAAAAATTTTGAGATTAATTCTCGTTCGCAAGCAAAGAATGCTTCAGTACCACTGGTAATTATCGGTATCATTTACATATCTACATTTGTATGAATGCAATACGGATCTTTCAATGCGAATAATTTCATCGCAAATTTTAAGTAGAATATATATATCAAAATTTCATTGTTTTTATTCTTTGATTATATGCTCCGCTACTAATATATTACATAATTATTAATGAAAAATTATTGAATTTTAATTTCTCTTTACGTTACAAATTAAATTATAATTTCAGCAATTTTAAATATAACAATAAATATATTTTTGGCAATGTAACACAGCTATTAAAACTAGTAATTATGCATAATCAACACGAATAATTAGGATTTTTAAATAAAATTTGTAAATAAAAGTCAAATTTGTTACTACTTTTATTCTTTGCAATAAATTTAATTAATTAATCTTGTTTTTTTATCTACTAAAATTTACGCGATTAATATCTTAATTTTAACGGAAATATTGAAACAAAATTTTAATTACGAAAGACTATAGTAGATAAGAAAATAGTTTTCTAACAGATACGGAGCGGCACTAAATAGTCTTCAAAATTTTTGATGAAACATTTTTGTATGATATATAAACATTTCTCGGAGACAAACGCGGTCTCGGACTATAAACGGTTTCCCGAGTTGCTGTGGAATCACGACCGTCACGAGATGAGCATAAAACCGCGCTCGGTTTGCTTCGCGAATATAAAGGGAGGCCCTAAAGCGCCTGTCGGCGCGCGCGCGCGTGATGCAAATCATTTTGCATAATTTACATTAAACTTACGCGGTATTCTCCATGCTTTCGCGGCCAACAAGATTAACGATTACTTTACACTCACGTTGATTCGTTCTTCGTCCAACTCGATGCAGCTCACTCCGTGTTCCTCTCTTCTCTCTCTCTCTCTTTTCCTCTTCTTTACACCAGAATTCCTCTTTGTTCCACGTATATATATACATATACCGTGATTCTCTACCCGTAATGCCTTCACCTCGAGTTACCAGTCAAATTACGCTTTACGGGCAATTCGCCGGCGCTAATACAAATTTAATAATCGGCGACGAACGTGTTACGTCGCACATGTACGAATCGGTGCTAGCACAGAGACTGAGGACGCGTATCAAAAGTTAATCTGCGAGAGACTTCATAAGTACTCCGGTAGGTTAGTGGTGGAAGGAAAATGGTAGGAAGAAGATATATCCTAGTTGCCTCGAGACGTGTCATCGTTTTTAGTCTTTCCGAGAAAAGGAAAGAGAGAGAGAAAGGAGGAAAGGGTAGGATAAAAGATAGATTAATCCGAGGCAAGAGGTGATCGTCTACCAGAATGGGTCCGATCGTGAGAGGACTACCTTTGCGTTAGCGGTATCTTTTTCGCTAAACTCTTGGAAGAGTCCCACGGGAAATGAAAGAATATATATTATATTTCCAATGTAGCATCCGCCGGGATGGTTGGTTATTCAATGAATTATATGCTCCACCGCGCGAATAAATAAAGAACTACCTACTATATTGAAATACATCGGCTATCAGATGATTCGATTTGTTTTACATCGATTTGCGTATTTATTAAGTGGCATGAATAATGTAGGAAGACATTTTTGCTGCATGCAATAACCTGGATTACGATACAGATATATGATTCTGCTCTCTCTCTCTCTCTCAACCAAATATCTAATGCGTGTAAAAATTTCTGACACTCTATACGTTTTGAAAGAATATAAATATAGTACAATTTTTACTTAAAATATCAAGAAGTTGTATAAAATTGGTCTTAATATTACAAGTTTTTGTATATATATATATATACATTGAAAAATTTGATGACCAAAAAATTACTCTCCGTGACATTTCGTCTTAATATGATATACATGCATTAAGAGTTAGTCATCATGTATATGTGTAATCTTACACATTTGCGCTGCTCTTGGCCGCAATCCGTAACCTTCACACATGGAAAACAACTTTCGTAAATACTACGAAACTGGTTGAAACATCACGAGTACGTCATAAGTGGCGAGGTAGGGATTTCCAAGGACGGTAGAACACGTTTCAGGAAATGCGTTTCTTCATCGCGAAATAATTGCCGAATAAACGCTGGATATCACGTGAAGTCGATTGATATCTAAAAATATATAATGCACAATTATGTTTCGCATTTTTCAATAATTGAGCAAAATGTAATTTTTTAAAAACATTTATCAGTTGGAAACTAGCAAATTTCCTATCAAAATTAAAATATATATATAATTCGTGTTTTAGTAATTATTGAGATAAAAATTTCAACTCTCCATTCTAATAAAAATTACCGCTTTCGATCAATTTATAACTAATGTTATGTCTTCTTTAACTACGTCATTGTGACTAGCATAGTCAAGCAAATATTTTTACTGCTAGCCATGAGTCATTATTGATGAATTCTTAATGCAATCGCAACGTAGAGGAAAACCGCTGCTTATTAATAAGTCATTTAGCAAAAGCGGAAAATTATTTTTCCTTTTATCTGAGTTCAACAATTAGACCAAATTATAATCTGGAATGTCCGCGGCTAATAGCGCAAGTATTCAGGAAAAGAAGTATCCTCCGTTATTGCATATTTTAGTCGAGCTCGCACATTTAATTTCCTCATGTTGATATCGTATGTGATATCGTATTGTACGTGACGTAAAAGAAAAACAAAAATTTTTCTCAATTCAATAAAAATAGTTGCATCAAACAAATGGGTATCCCCCGAAATAATTTCTCCAATAGTAATAATTTAGATAAAACAAGTTTTTTAATTATTATTAATTGTTTAAATTGATGTGTACAATTATACAACCATAATATATATTGTACAATTCTAACCAAACTTTTTATGAAAAAATATTTATTTCTTGTAAATAAAATATTCAAGTACATTATGTATATTGTAATTTATTGTTGTTTTTGTTAAAACTTAACATCGATCATATTTAATGATCATGTATTATATAATTCCATTAATATTTCTTAATATAGCAATATTTCTTCATATGAAATATAGTGTTAATTACAAGTAAATTACGTAACGTCTAAATAACTCGTTAAAATATATA